GTAGTTAAAGAAATGATGAAATCTATTCGAGAATTTAATTGCATAGATGGATGGCATTTTATTTTTTCTACGAAACCGTATTTCTGTACTGAATTTCCAAATGTTTTTTTACTTGTTAAACTTACTCTTATTATTCCATTATCTAATGCTCATATAGAACGTATCTTTTCTCAACATAAGTTGACTAAAAGTAAGATATGAAATCGTATGAATATACAGTAGATACACTTGATATGCTTTTGATGATTCATGAAAATGCTTCTAATAACATAGACTTGTTTGATTGGAAATCCACATATAATTTTTGGAAAGAACAACAAGCATGATGTATTAGTTAACTGTAACTTATATATATGTACTGTTATGTATATATATACATACATATGTACATTCGTATACATATATAGGTATCTATTATTCAATAAAGTCATATGATCAATTTTGTGCGTATTGTACCTTTGTGCAAAAAAAATTTTTTTTGCACTGCATATTTGTGCCGAATTTTTAACACTGGTCACATGATAGAGGCATGCCTTTTGGTCAAAGGGCATGCCCCCATGCCTCATGCCTCCAACCCTACACTGGGGTAGCTATCATATAGTGCTGCACTATGTTTGTAAATCATAGGGGGTGGAACACCTCAGTCTGAGATATTTAGTTTCGGAGATTATTTCTCCTACTTGTTCCAACCACCACGTAGAGGTGTATCACATGGTTTTAATAGCAATGGTTTCAGCGTTGAAGAGCAACATATGAGACATTATGTTATTATAAATATGCTGATATGATAGGTATTATAAATGTGCCGATAGGAGGAGTAAATTGTTCTTTCCTGAAGTTTTGTTTAGTCACTAACATCACAGGCTTTTTGACTGCTTAAATTAAGGAAGGAGCGTAACCAGTTACTCCTCCATAATCAGTAAACGGAGATGCAAAAAAGCTAGATATCAAATTGTTTTTTATTTGATAAGCAAAAAATGGTCGATCCGACTTAAATTATCATGGATATATTTTGAACGTGATGAATTTTATGTTATTAAACAATAGATTAAGGCCGATATATGAATAAAGTATAATATTCTTTAAAATAACGTCAAACAAATGACGCAATTTAAATTTTATTAAGACGATATTTTTATCAATTAGAACCAATATGCAAGATAATAAAGTGAATTTAAAATTCCTAAAGATGATGATAAACAACTAAGTTAATATAGATTAACTAATAATTAATTACGAATAGACCTTTAATTATTATTTTTTAAGACTATTAATCATTGATAAAAATTTCTATAGTTTTCGTTTTTTTGAATGAAATACTTTTAAAATTTCTCTAGTTCTTTTTTTGCCTTTGTTTTTTACTTCCATTCCTTCACTATCATCACTACAACTATTTTCACTTTCTTCATCACATTCGTCACCACTTTCAGTCGTTTCCCAATCCGGAAGGTCCTCTGGTGCAGATAAGTTTAATAAGATCGATTTCTGATGTGGCCTCATGGTATCAAGGAAGAGATGATGTAGCTATATATTAAAAAAATATATATAGATTTATATATATTAAAGTATAAAAATTTTTACCTATAAATTAATACAATAAGTAAAGAAATAACTATACTTTATCAGATCTCTGGGATATATCATGTAAGTTAAAGGACGCGTAACTATTTTCATCCCTTTCCTCAGCATCGGAGATTTCATGATCACTTTTGTTTAGCTGTTTTATTAACTCATCTAAGTCATACTTTTTAGTACGTTTAGCATTTTTGATGGAAAAGTGTCCAAACGCCTCCGTACGTCGGGACATTTTCTATAACATTCATTCAAAGATACGTAAGTATAAGTATATAGGGAAACATTTTTCATATTAAAAATGCGTAAAAATTATTATGACTTATGCTGAATCTAGATTCGTCATTAATTTTATTACATATATTTATAACGAATGCAAAATTTTTGAAATAATTACTTCAGGTTGCTGAGAGTTTTTACGTAACCAGTCATCGTTTCGGAATGGATCCTGATGAATTGATAACGTATTTCGGGAAGATTTAGTAGGGTATTGTCGCCGAATTTCTGCCAACTTATGTTGGCTTGTTTTGTAACGATCTCCCAAATTGCTGAAAAAAACAGGAAACGTATTTTCTGCCATTCTATCTTTAGATTTGGTACCCTTTTCTTTTAGATGAAGGAATACTTCTCTCTATAATTAAAAATACTATTAATATGAAATAAAATACTAATCAATATATAATTTTATATGTTGATAATATACCCTATTTCGATCCATATCATCATCAACTATTGTATTCATCCTGGTTGTTGCTTCCGGAGCCGACCTTCGTAATGCATTAGTTGAAGATTCTTCCATCACCCACTCAAACGAGTCTTGGTCATCAGATTGACTTAACTCATACAATTCCTCAATTTCATCAATCAAAGTGATAATGGAAATCATTAAATAATTGATTTGGTCCGTTATATCCATTATGTTACGATCTTGCCGTCTTGTGATATCATGAAGCTCATCAATTACTTTCCATAGCCGTAGATTTTCTAGAAACAAAAATTATAAGAATTCAATTATAAATAAGTGATTAGATAAATAAAGCAATACCGTTTTCTAATTCTTCGAATTTTCTATTTCTTTTCATTGTATCACGTTCATATTCTTCTTGGATAATAGGAGAGCTAAGCAGAACATTAGTGTGTCTAGATGGAGTGATTTGTGAAGTTGTTGTTGGTTGTGTGGTGAATATAGCGGGTTGATTAGTGCTAGGTTGTGTGGTGGATGTGGCTGATTCAGCGATGTAGAGTTGTGTATTAGAAGTAGTAGGTCTATCGTTATTAGTACTGGATTGTGTGGTGGATGTGGCTGATTCATCGATGGAGAGTTGTGCTGATTCAGTAGTGGAGAGTTGTATAGTAGAAGTAATAGGTATATTAGTGTTGGGTTGAGTGATGGATGTGGCTGATTCAGCGGTGGAGAGTTGTGTATTAGAAGTAGTAGGTCTAATAGTAGTGGATCGTGTAATGGGTGTGGAGGGTCTAGCGGTAGTAGGATGTGTGCTCAAGGATTTTTTTGCTTTCTTCATTTTTAGAGGAAAGAAATGTGAAATGTCGAAGATTAATGTAATAGAGATAAGTGAAAGGTTGAAGATTAAAGTTGAAAATTAAAATGGTAGAGAAGTAAAAGGTAGAAAGAAAGGTAATATTTTTAAGGAAAAGGACGACAGGATCAAGGTATGTGTTCAATTCAACTATAATCGTTATATAAGAATTTCAATTTTATAAAAATTCGTGTCGGTAAATATCGAAAGTTGGTGAATAATATAATACGTAAGGAACGAATATTGATAAAGACAGAATATGAACGCGAAATATTTTATCAGAATTGAATCTCTAGACGACTTTCATTATTCATAATTACTATAATCCAAAGTTTTCTTTATTAATCTTTTAGATTCGCGTCTATATATACTTTACGTGCATCAACATATTAATATGCTAGAATCATAAGTTGCTTAGTTATAGTATAAAGTATATACAATCATATAGATTTAATCAACTGTAATCGATTCGGCGTAGAAATTGATTGCATAAAACAAATTACTCTTATAATTGAACCTGCATAAAGTAATAAAAAAATGCCTTTGTTGCATCCGAAAATATTGCCAAGATGGTGCACCATTGTAGCCGGATAGGTGCTGTACTATATTATTCGAAGACCTCGATTTACATGTTGTTTATTGTTATCGTTATTCTGTCATTTTTACTGTATGTAAACAATAATAATAAAAAAATGCTTCTGATGTGAAATACAAAATTCGTTGCTATTTCAACAAATCAGTTTCTCGCTAATGTCAAACAATCAAAAATTTTTTTTAATTTTTCTATTTCGATAAATTTCTACACAAATAGTAGAGACCCCAGATTATGCGCATTGAAAAGAATTGCTATGCGATGTGATGATTTCTTTATGCGATATTTGTGCGAGAAATCATGTACGTACGTACGTACGTACTGTACGTACCAGGTACTGTACGTACATATTTCGTATTGTTATAAATTTGATTTATCATTGTATAATGTGATAGTTATGAATTTAAGATGATAAAAAAGAAATTTAACAATTATATACATATGCTTTTATTATTCGTTTAAAATGCCCGCACAAATGCCACATAAATCTCGTAAAAACAATAACAATGAACCGCATTTTATGCGCCTATTATGCGACCGCATATGTCCGTGGTCTCTACACAAATAGCGTGGTCAGAAATGAAACAAAAATTAGAGTTTAGCTTTCGTTAGTGTAGCAAAGGAAAGTTAAAGACGCAGGAGAAAAAAAACAAATACAATTTATTACATAAAATTAATTTATAAATAAATACGTACTAAAATGTATTTATGCAATGCATTAAAATTATGCTTTTATGTAGTAACTAAGGTTATAGAATAACAAGATAGATAAGTTAGCAAAATTAAATTTTAAATTAGAAAACTTATACGTAAATTTGAAACCGATTATTGTCTTTAAATTTTACTGATCTGTGATTGCGTAATAAAGTACAAACGTGCGTACGCCGCCTTTGTTAAAATATGACGTAAATAAGTAATTTGTCATTAATACAATATACCGATATTTCCCTTTTAACATTTAAACTAATTGACTGTCGATTAGTGTCGCTAGGCTTAGGGATGCTAACGACTCAATCGACTCTATTCATTAATCGGGTTTATAATAATAAATATACAAGCCGAATCAAGCCGTTGACATCCTTAGCTAGGCTTAAGATACGCGGTAAACCTGTATCGCTATTTAGCTCTTTATGGACATTTAGAACATTTTCGAATATTTATTACATCGCGCCTGAATTTTAGTCATAAATATTATAACGACATTTATTAAAAAAGTTATTATTACCTTTTTATTAAGAATTTAAACACTTTCAGTCTACATATTATTCTCTTGTCTACTATAAGAATTTATTGCTCTCGTGCTATGAAAAATTTTTAAATTGCTTGTTGCCTCCATCAAACTATAAGAAATTTTAGTGCTAATCACGAGAATTTTAACACTTTCGGCATTCACCATATAACATGCGCCGTATGTCATTGTAACTAAAATTGTTTTTCTTGACAGATTTTATCTTTTTTAAAAAAAAAAGAAATATCGCATATTTATGAAACTTTTGTCTCAATTCAGAGTATTCAATTATTTCTAGCATCTAAAATAACTACTATCTATACAAACAAATTCAATCAAATTTTGTCACGAGTTTATTGTTATTTTAGAGCTGGACACTTTGATCTCTTTTTTTTTGATTTGCTTTAATTCTTAAAGATTGAAAACATAATAGGATGATAAATAACTAATACTAAGTAATCAAAAATATGTCAGCAGACTATCAATGAAAATTGGAATTAAAGCCTCTAGTTAAAGATTTCCAAATGCTTTGATTTATTTCATTTATCATTAATATTAACACGATAAAAATTTCCTTGAAATTTCACGAATAAAGTTAAGTTCTGGTTATTGTTTTTTTTTTATGAAACACAGGAACATGCAAGTTTTGAGCTTTAAGCGCCATATTTCATAATTAACGTTAAATAATCTAAATGAATTTCATTACTTAGTCGGTTTACCACGTTAACAGTAATCATTAATCACTAATTTTGCCTTCAAGTTCAATTGAAGTACAAAAAAGTTTATATTGTTATTTAATATTATGCATAAAAAATCTAATCTTAGGAAGTCTAATTTGATCAAAAAAAAGTATAAATACAACTCAATTACGATAAAAAAAATTGGGGAGCATGCTGCTGCATACAGAAATAACACAAGATTTGCCGATGAAAAAGATGATAATGGGTTAAATACCATCAGGAATCACCAAGCTTGATAATTCATTTGTTATTTCTTTTGTATTGATTAGTTTACTTGTATACATGTGTGAAGGGTGTTCTGGCTCAATCTGTTTTAGATTGACCTTATCAGCATCTGTGAATTGACGTTTAATTTCATTATCATTATCTTGTTCCATCTCGTCAAGCCAATGAACAATTTTTGAATCAATGATGGTAGCTATTGGTCGTTTTTTTGGATCTGAATCCATGCATCGTTTAGCCAATGTAATGTAACATTCTGGAATTCCTTCATTAAATTCTGGTCTTTCGCCTCGACAAATTTTTAACGAAAGATCAAGATCAAAAGGTACACCATCAAATGCTCTTTTTCCAGTCGCTATCTCTGTCATAATAATGCCAAGACTATATATATCAGCAGCTTGTGTGAAAGGTCTTCCTTGTAGAACCTCTGGAGCAACGTATGGCATAATTCCATAAATTTGATCCTCTTGTTTTATACTAGCTGATGCAGAGAGACCTAAATCAGCGATATACGCACTACGTAAATCATCTTGTAAAATATTTTTACTGTGAAGATCCCGATGAGATAACTCTTCTGAATGAATAGCTTCAAGGTCAGAGACGATACAGTTTAATAAATTTAATTTATCTTTCCATATCATTTGTGATACTGCATCAATATTTTTATATAGAGATCCAGTTTCCGCATACTTTAAAATAATTATATAATTTTCAGTTTTTTCATCCTGTGATATTCCATAGCATTGTAAAAATGAAGGATTGTTGAATCCGATTTCGCCGTATGCTTTTAACTACAATAATATAAAATAAATAAGTATACTGAATAAATAATAAGATGAGTGCTACTAAGGGAAAGCCACACTTTAGACTTCTAATTTTATAACTTATCATTACCGAATTCAATCCCTAAAACATTTGATAGCGATAGGCTAAATCCAATAAGTTATAAATTTAAAAGTATAAAGCGTGGTTTTCCCTTAGCGGAATATAAATATTAAATAAACACCTCATTTATAAATTCCTGAACCTGAGTGTTCGAATTATGGATTATTTTCAACGCAACAGAAATCAAATTAGAACCATCAATAGTTACTCTTGACCATTTAGCGTGGCACACGGTAGCAAATCCTCCTTTTCCAATTTCTTCGATAATTTCAAATTCAGAATAAGGAATCCAAGATAATTGATATTTATTTTCTTTTAATATTTTTTTTAAATTTTTATTAATATCTAGATTTTCATATGTTGATTTAATTGTATTTGAAAATTCGTTTCTTTCTCTTCTAAACCAATAATTGGCTTTTTGTAAATTCCTTTCTATTCCTATTCCATTTCTATAACAATGACCAACCATATGAAATCCATCAATGTTTCCCAAATCAGCGGCTTTTTGATAATAAATAAATGCTTCATGTTCATTCTTTTCAACTCCAATTCCTTTTAGATAACAATCACCAATATCCTGGAACATTACCCATATCAATAGATTTTTGATAATAATTGAATGCTTTATGTTCATCCCTTTTAACTCCAATTCCAT